CAGAAACGGACAGCCATTGTCAGGCAATGCAACATTTATCAGGAACCGTTAGTAAAGTCCTCCAAAGAAATGCTACAGCAGGGGCACTTACTACAATACCTCGACCAGGGTGTCCGCGTATCACACCAAGAAGACAGGATCGCCTTCTCCTTAGAGTGCGCCGTGCTGGTCGTACAAAACAACCAGTGTCCTCAGAAAAGAGTGGCAGAATGTCATTCAAACACCCGTTTCAAGGTCCCTCGTGAATAAGAGATTACTGCAAGTCGGTTATTAGGCACGAAGACCAGTAGGGAAACCACTGTTAACAGCAGGTCATATACAGCGACGTCTGCAATGGGCTGGAGACCACGCGCGTTTGCAGCCAAAACACTGGAATCACGTCGATTTCGGTGACGAGGCCAGATATCTTAGCTTAAAATTAATACTGACATCAAACTGTTGATATGGTTTTCTCGGTGTGTTCTTTTCTTTTGAATGACATCTTATGTCAGATTTGATATTATTGACCAAAATATCTCACAACAGAAGACTGGATATTTTAATCACTCGATGACATACTTTTTTGATGAATCAAGCCAAAAATTTTTAATCAGCACTCAAAAATAACAATGATAAAAATATTCCATATTAAGTAGTAACCCTATAATCCTTAAAGCAAGAAGCGTTTAATAACACAAGGAATCTTTAACACAAGAAGTGTTAGTTAGATATTAATTAATAGTAACGTATACCGATTGTTAACAAAACAATTACTTGTGCCTGCCCTGTTCACCAATGTCACGGAGTAGATGGAGTACGTGTCGTTAAGGTCAACTTTCCACCATGGGTTGTGTTCATTCTGTGTATGTGAGCAACCCCCAGCATTAAATTCTGTCTTTGTATTGCCATCTATGGCGTATTTGGCTGTCCAATTTACATTGAGGTGACGAATATAACTAGACTGACTAGCAGTCTTTCCAAAAGCAGTGTTATCTGAAATATTAACAGTTAAAAGTTTGTGTATGTTTGACGTGATAATTTCATTGCTACTTGATTTTATACCACAATACATTTACATGTTAATCATTTGTCTATACATATATGTATTACCTCAAGATCATTCACGGATATTGCTACAAAACCGATGCCGACAATTTAAGAAACACAACTTGGTCAATATTTCTTGAAATATTACAGAGAATCTTTTTGTGATCGCGCTTAGTAGTAATGGTTAAGACTAATATCTTACATGGATATGTATACCCTCGAATAATGACTTCGCATAGCTGCAAAGACGCTGATCCTGATTTGGAGAACTTGACATAGCGACCGAGAACTGGAGGATCCACCGTTTGCTCGAAAGAACAAGTAGTCATCAATTGTATGTTCCCTTGTTGAGTTGTATCATTACCAATGTACATGCTGATTGTTTGGCCTTTAAAACGAGAAAAAGGTACACCCTAAAATACCTTATCCCGTGTTTAAGACAGGACCCTCACCTAACCATGATATAATAGTGATATAGGATAACAGTGTCGTAATATTAAGTAGAATATAGGCGGGTTCTACCCATAATTGGGGTCCCAGGGCCCACTTCTACAAAAATGGAATAAAACCCCCACTGAGACCTTTATACGCAGTATAGTGGATAACGTATTGCAAATATCTTGGTTTTATCATATATTCCAAAACACGTTTTCACTCCACGGCAGGAGGGAGAAAACGTACTAATGTCACACAACACATCCGTTCATAATACCCTGGTAATGGATACGGTACAGTTTATGTAGACTATGTATGGCGGGTATAATACTATTGTACTAGTTATATTAATCAACCGTGTATTCAGAGCATATACTAGTAGCCCTGTCCCATCACATCTAGCCATTTCTGTCAATCACATGCGTAGGCATACGATCTATATAGCAATGGACATTTTTTCGTGATTAGAGCTGACACTGTACACTTTACATATCAAATTTAATAATGCTCACGATTGTAAGCTGAACAGGAATGTTTTTATACATACAGCCGCTTGGCCTGATAACCGCCACAGAGCGGATGACGTAGAGACCTTCCAGATCCACCCGCCACCACGGGTTAGTGTCTTGGTTTGTTACTGCACACATAGAGACATCAGTGCTGTTGTTTCCGTCTACCGCTAATGATGGTGGGTGACCGTCCTCAATACTTGATTGTGCTGTAGGCTTTCCAAAGGCTAGACTGTGTTTTTCTGAAGAAATCCCTTCCAAATTTCATAACTAAGCATTTTTAATGATTATAAAACCAAAACATCTCTGACATGAACAATATCCTGATAGGATAATCTAATCATTCTGATAAGAGCAAAAAGGTTAAGTAGGCCCACATGAAAAGTTTACTGTATGCTTGATGGGGACATGTATGTTAGTCCTAACTAACTTTTACTTCAGTCAAACAAGTGGTTTAATCTCAATAATTTACTTTTTGAATTACATCCCAAGTCAAACATGAAAAAACTGTCTTTCTTGTTGGCTCCCACCTACCGTCCATACACCCTATCCCCCAGGGGTTGTCCACACAGTGACCAGGGCAGTTTGGGGACAACGTCTTCTGACACGTTTGACCCTGTTTACAGAAACATCCAGTTGTTGTGTTACATACCCAGCCGAAGTATCCGTCATCGGCATTACAACATTGACCCTGATGCACTAAAACAAAGTATTTTAGCCTTTATTAACTAAAAATTTCAGATGATTCTGATAACGTCCGCGCGCGCGCGCGCGTCTGTAATAAGCAGCGGCAAAATTCCTAACCGTGAATATAATCATACTAAACATAAAGTTACCATTAGAAAGCACCTTTTCAACATAATAAATCAATTAATTTTTTATTTGTATCCCGATTTGATGACATGAGTATGCCATTGATCTCCAACGCCCATCGAGTTGAGAGATGTCAAGAATCATTCAGGTGCTAAATTTAATTTTACTTATTTGACTCGTAATGACACTTTTTCTCATTAAAATGTACCCTTGACACGTAAAAGAGGATAAGCTTACCACCAAGGGTATTTGCGGAATTTTTCTCGTTTATTTATTGCACATGAATATGTACCGCCACACAAACATCGCGATAAACGTCGACAAAATGCATCACTGAATACATTTTGATTGTAAGCCTACATGAGATAAGTTTTGTTCAGTCAACTTGTTTTTGGCACGGTGTCACAAACCAGTTTCATATCTATCAGTAAACAACCAATGGCCCTACATGATAAGATACGGGACACTTAAGTGTTGCACTGACTTTTGATATCCGCCCTTGAACAATCGAAACTGAAGAAATCGAACTGAAAAGATTGAATATTTAGGTCTTAAGCTTGATTTTATTTATGGAAGAATAGGGTCAGTAAGCGAAATATTTACAACCCATAGATATCAAATCATTTCGGCCAGAACCCCTTCCCCTCTATCAGTGTCACAGCTTCGTTAACTTACTTTCTATGAACATGGTCATTACTATTGTCATTATGCCACGTAAGGTTGTGTGCTTAAGCATTCATGTCTTTTCATTCCTTAGACACAAAACAACAAATTTAATAAAGAAATGATAGTATTCTAAAACCCATTACATCAATGATAAAGCTAATGCTCAGGTCAATATGGCGTTTAAACCAAAGTAAACGAAACACCTGGCGTCACACAAGTCCTGAATATTCAAAACTCTTGTAAAATTGAAATGACAGTTAGATGTACTAGTACATGTACATATGTCCGCTTAACACTTAAGGATTGGAACTCATCGGAATTAAACTGATTTACCTGAGAAAATGAGGGTCCATACAACCAGGAAGTATTTCATCGTTCAACGTCTACAACGCCCAATAAACACCCAGTAAAACACGTCCTGAGCTAACAGCCTGTCGCAAGGATATGAAGATAAGGTATGCGTATAGAGCCAAATGTTTTATCTCGGTGGCTGTTATCTTGGAAGAGTAAACAGGGGGATCAATTTATTTGAAAGGTGACTTCAAGTCACAGTCATCTAACTTATGGTAATAGAAACGACGGGTATAAATCGGGGTGTTTGTGTTTACTGACGAAAACACGTCAATCACTGTAGGGTACTTATTTTTCATTTACAACTCTGTGAACGGAAATGCATCGCAAACGAATATAGAAGATGTCTTCAACATATTCCACAAAAAAAATCTTTGATATCCTTCTCGGACACAATATCCGAGCATGTTTAGGGGAAAAGTTCGTTCAGAATTATGTGTCTACATTTAGTATAAACATATGTTAAAAGAAATAGATATAAACCTAAACAACACACTTAAAGGGGGTTTTGAATGGGGAAGAAAAATTAATTATTACCACAAAAGAGTTTTAAAACATGTATCCGCCGTAATACATGTACCAACTGCATGAATGATCTTGTCGCTGCTTTCGTTACTTCCTTGACAAGTGTTTGATTACTTTTGATAAAAAGAGGGGGAATAGAAGTAGAAGCAGACTGGTGGTTGCAATATTTATTCTTATCACATGTATGAAAAGTACATAAGATGTTACATTCACGTATGAATATATGCTCGGTGAAAGAAGACGAATTGGCTAACAGATTTTATAAGCGAATTGAACTAATGGAAATAAATAAAACAAGATAAGCTTCCATGTATAACCACCAAGCGTAATTCTTCTCATTTGTTCATTGCACATGGATATCCCCCACCACACACATATCGCGATTTACGTTGTTAGCCTACATGAGATAAGTTTTGTTCAGACAACTTGTTCTCGGCACGGTGACATAAAACAGTTTTATATCTAGGCTACGAGTAAACAGTCAATAGACCAGCATGATAAGATACGGGACACTTAAGTGTTGCACTAACTTACATAAACTAGTATTACCTATTGTGCAGGGGGAAGCGTTTCATCACACCCAAGGCCAGTCCCTCTTATAACGTGTGAAAAGACGGGGGGGG